GTATGTGTGTGTGTGTGTGTGTGTGTGTATGTGTGTGTGTGTGTGTGTGTGTGTGTGTGTGTGTGTGAGTGTGCGGGCACGCACGATTCATTGTATTATTATATCTACCGGTACTGGCAACAACAGTCTGAAGACAAAAAGGAGGCCAGTCATTGATCTACCTTACTGCAACCGACCTTTTCTGGCACTCACTGATCCAAAATAGTAATAACGCATCGTGGCTGGGCATTCAATGTTAATAAATAACAACTAGATCTTGGATCTAGAATCTAGGTTCCTTAATTTTCGTCTGTGTGCTTCTAGCACTACAAATATTTCGTCAAAAAAAGTCTCTCTAGAAAAAAAAACACAGCTTCAGCATTAAGAAGTAGATTTAAAAGATAATGGCAGGTTATATTGTAAATTAGTTTATCCGTTGCATCAGTAATTTTTTCGTAAGCAAGAACAACAGCTTGAATTAATAATATTATGAAGAAAATAGGCCTACATAAAAGGTGAAATGTTCTGAAAGCTACGGTGACGAGAAAAGCACATTGTCACGTTTCGCTTACTTCCGGTCAAAACATAAACACCATTACAACAAACTCACGAGTTGATTCTAGTTCAGTCGAAGCAAGCAAACAAGCATGGCGTCGTCTCCTCCTTTTATTTTAGAAATCTCATCTTTTTCTGATGAAAAAAGTAGACATTATGCAAAAGTCATGGACCATTACTTCAACAATGGCGTAAGTATTATTATTATTTATAGATTCTATTAATTTTTGGTTAGTGAACAATTTGGACATGTTTTCGACATGGATGGAAATTGAGTTCAGCCTCAGTCTCAGTACAGCAAACTGTCTAAAGTCTGAACAAGTTACTTGATCTAGATTCTAGATCTAGATCTAGATCTATAAATTCTAGATATAGAATCTAGATCTAGATACAGTCGAACCTGTGGTGTAAGACGGCCACCCATTGACGGCACATTGTCAAGGAGAAAAGTGGGCGCTTTTTCGGTAGTTCGGTCCCAACCGAAGAAATCCCACGTTGTTGTTGGGCCACCTCTATTCTCACCCGGAGTGAGAATAGTGCAGACGAGTCTTGTGGCTATTCTCACCTGGTGCGCGTTCACCAAAGTTTGCGTTCACCCTAAACCACAGAATTCTACACTGTGATAACAGAAAAATTGTAGAATTCTGTGCCGTGAACAAACGTTCCATTACAACTGTAGCCTACTAAAAGCGTACAATTTTGTCTGTGGGCAGTGGAGAGAGAGAGAGAAAGAGAGAGAGGAGTAGCGCGAGAATTTCCAGGCAAAACAAAATGGCGACCCGCATAGTTCGGCTCGATTCGAAAAGTTAAATAGCCGTAGCATCTTTGTAGACAACCAAATTAATTTACTTTTGTGTTTTAACATCATTTTTTAACTTTGTTAAATACGTTTAAAACGTCTCAAATACAAATGCTTTAGGTACTGCACACTAAAAATGTATATTTACAATTCAGTAGGTCTATTTTTTGTAAATGGTCAGTCTAGCCATCATATTAAGAATAAGTACGGCTAGACTGCGAGTTGGAGGGGGGGGGGGTTACAAATAATTTTGAAATTATTATGAAAATTCTGTAGGTGGATATCTAATTTCTTAATGTTTCTTTGTAAGTAACTTTGTAACTGTTTTGTTGATCTTTTAATGTCTTGATGTCTTTTATTTGTAAGGCACGTACCTATTGCATTGACAAGGGTCTCAATGTCTTTCACATATATATATGTGTTCTTTCTAGATTTAGTTAATATGGTTTAGGCCCATTCCTCGAGCGGTCCACTAAAATGCAAAAAGATGAAATTGATTAAATCAACTCAGTAACATGTGAAATATTCAGCAGAAAGGTTTATTGGTGTAGTTCTGAACTCAAAAATGGTAGAAACCATCCCTTTCATATAAAAAATGCATGGTGAAAAGTGAGAAAGAAAAATGTCATGGCAAAGACAAAAATACCATTTAGTAAAGAATTTTTTGTTTCAATGATAGAATAAAGTAATCCAGTTATCTTTATGTTTGTATACTCTCCTAGCATGTACTTTACTGGAAAGCAAAAACAATTCCAGGTTTAATGCATATGTTATGACCACATTAGAGAGAATGTCCACCTCTCGTGACAATGTAACACACGAAACACAAAACATTCAGAAGTTTTCCCACACATTAAAAAAAAAGAGCTATAATCAAATGCTTCCATGAACGTGTGAAGTTGACGGTAGGAAATAACTCAGTAATATCAGTTCTTGTGAAGTAAGTCCCTATCTCGCAGAATGGGGTGGAAGTCGTGTAACACACGTCATTCATACAAAACATGCAAATCTTCAAAAGTAATGATAGAAATAGGCAAAGAAAAGCAAATTACCATACTGACACATATCACAATGGAATAAATTGATGTTTGAAGCTGAAATTTTAACTGACCAGGGGACAAAATGGGTTTTGGTGAAGTGATCTCCTTTATGACATTTTAAGATTCAATAGCTCAGTAAATTTCATCTCTCATTCCAAGCCACTTCCATTTTCCTGTAAAATGTGACTTGACATTCACCATAGCCCTCTTGTCCCCTTTCCTGTCACTTCTTCATGGTATTTTTTCTCATCACATCTCACAAGCACCCAATCCCCAATACTGACCACACGGTCATCACTTTGAGATGGATCACTTGCATTCTTAAACCCCTCTAAGGAGTACACATTTTACTGGACCTCTTATTTGTCGTGTGAATGCATGGTAACTTCTCTGCAAGGTTTCCAAATCATTCAGTACACTTTCTTGACTCCAGAAACTTCTATAATATATATCTCTATATTTTGCCAGGGGTCCTCATAGTGTCAATCTCATTTTGTGAGAAGTATTTGGCATGAGCTGCAGATTTCCATTTCCATCATGAATGTCTTCTTCATATATCAGCACTGATATATATATATATATATATATATATATATATGTAACGACACCACTAAAAGTTGACATTTTCTTTGATGGTGATCCAAGGAAAGAAAAGGGTGCTTTATTCACAGCCTTTGACAAAAAGCCTGCTTGTTCTTGTATCCTTCTCTGGCTAGTGTTGCAGCTTCAGCGTGGTTGGTGTTGGCGCTATGTTCCTTCTTCTTCAGCCGATGCTTTGTAACCATTCAGTTCAGGGCATACTTTCTGTGTTCCTTCCTGTCAGATTCTATCATTCCAACATGTTTTGTTTTTTAATTCTCTCTTCTACTTTCTTTGGCTGTGTAAGATTAGTCATCTGTTGTGTCATCTTTGCATGCTGCTTTTTTAGTCTTTTGGGTGGACGAATAGCTGAGGAAGGAGATGAAAACAAAAGTTAAATTTGACAGGGAATAAGGCTAAATGTCTGTTTCTTTTAATAGGTGAATTTTATTTTCAAACTGCATTTAATCTTGTTGTTGTGGCATGATTTTGAAATCCACCAGTGTAGTACAGTATGCCCAATGTTCTGAGGTACTTTCAGAAATATTTGTTAAATTGATTTGTTTGTTTTCCCGAACTATACACCAGTATTGGCAAGAGGTCGCTAATAAATATTTTAAATTTAGTCTTTATTGAGATGATCTTTGAATTCCAATGCACAAATTAATTCAACTTTGATTGATATCAATGTCGGTTACAGAAAATTATAGTATGAAATATACAACGAAACACAAAAATTGAATTAATATAATATATTTACCTTTTTGCCACAGCTTGAGGTATCACCAATGCTTGTTTCCTTGTCAGCCACACTGCTTTTGCCAAAAGTGACCAAATATTTTTTTAAATTTGACTCTACATGCCAAGTGAAATTTCTGATTTGAAGATGTGACACATGAAACAAAAAAAATGTAACACACTTAACATTTACTTTTGACTATATTTCATGAAGTTTCATTCTTTTTTCTTTCTAAAGCTAGAAAAATGCTCAGCATCCATTTACAAAGAGTGTATAAAAAATTGTCTTTACTTTGAAGAAATTTGGGACAGTCTGTAGAAAAGTAGAATGAAGCATTTTCTTCACGTAACACCCGTAACGGCCACTTCACCATCATGTTAGTCAAACAGTTACTTCCTAAGTGACTTGAAAAGGTACAACAGTTCAAACTGACTATATGTCTTTCTCAAGGAACAATGCTTTTATTTCTGACACCCATTGTCTTGTCGCTAAGCTCTTTGAAAGACTTGAAAGTAGAGCTCAGATGTAACACACGAAACATGGAATGGGCCTTTAATTAAATTGTATTAACTGAAATTATATTTTTTTGGTAGCGTCAATTGCCAGCGAGTGACGCGGTGGCAATTGACAAAAATTGACTTTTTGTCAATTGCCACCGAGTGAAGCGGTGTCAAGTCTGAAAACAACACTATCTTTAGCATTATAATGTGTGTCTAATGGGTCAATTTGTTCTCAACTAATTTCATTGGACGAGCATCTAGTCTAGAGCTACGGTACCAACTTGGCGTGTTTTCAATGAGACGTAGACCTAGATCTAGGCTAGCCTTAGCCCACACTTTGGTGTAGAACCAACACAGGCAATTCTAGAAGTAGAAGGTCACAAACGCACTCAAACTCAAGCAGAAATTCACGTTATATCGGGGAACATAAATCGGGGGACGGGGGTCAGGAACACACACAGACACACACACAAACACACACACAGAGGGACAGAGAGGTAAATGCACAACACCGAGCACTCGAGCACAATAAGCTAGATCTACTCACCAACGCAAAAGAGCTCCAATTTACTCGGTGGCAATTATATTGACAAAAAGTCAATTTTTGTCAATTGCCGCTGCGTCACTCGGTGGCAATTGACACTACCTAATTTTTTTTTACAAGCTGGTAAAAAAAACCCACGTATAGTACATGTACAGGTATTTTTAAAATAATAATGGAGGTTGAAGATCGGAAAAAGTACTAATATTAATTTGGTGTGGGTTGGGGTTGGAGGCAAATGTGAGAAAAGTGTAATTTGGGTTTTTTAAAAAGTCCCCAAAAGTGTAAGATTATATTTGAACAGCCCCATAGGTTTTCCATTTCCTCATCTTCACCATAATATTCTCTTCTCTTCTTCATCTTCCTTCTCCCTTCCTCCACCACCACCTCTTCTTTCTTCTCCCCACCATCATCATTCACCCTCTCTTTATCATCACCACCACCATCACCTCCTCGTCATTATCATTACCATCATCACTGCCACTGTCAGCATCATCATCTCATTCACCGACATCACTACATGTACCACACCCACAAGAAGAGTGGCCATTTTGGAGTTAACACTTTTCGCCTTGGGATTGCCTTTAAAATGTTCCTCCTTCCTTTGCACTGAGCAGATTTTTGATAGGTGTAAAATATTATTTTTTTTTCACAATGATTAATTTATTAATTATTGTGATGCAATTTCAGAGTACATGAACATATATTTTTTTTAACATTCAAATATCAACATTTTGCTCAGTACTGTTTACCATTCCACCAATTTTCATGCAATTTTGTTAGAGAGTAAGAAGCCTTCGGTTTTTTAAAATTATTGTTTGTTTTGCATGTTGGTGCTGTTTCCATTCCATGGCAACTTTCATATTTTCTGTCTTATCAAAATTTACTTTCTTCATTATTTCTTATGCCCGTAGCTATAATTTTTTTCTCCTGAATATGAATCGGAAAAAAGAATCGCCCTTGGGGTGAGCTGTTCCCATAAAAATGGACAGTAATGATATGAGCATTTTAGAAAGCAATGAGAGGAAAACAAAACACAAAAACTTAAAAAATGCGATCTATTTTATTATTTGAAAGAATCCCACAACAAGGTCCAAGTAAAGAACATAAAAACATTGAATTGTTTAAGTCAAGATTAAAGACTTGATTATAATTATAATGATATTTACTAATAATAGAGGACATTTAATTACAGTGCCTTACTCTCGTTTTAACCAGCTCAAAGTATGTTACATTAGTTTAGTCATTTAGTAAAAGGTAGTATAAAATAACAATGTCCAAATTTGTCATTCTTCCAAACCTTTATTCAGTTACGGTGAGCTGTTCCCCTTAACAATGGACAGTAATATGAGCACATCAGAAAGCAATGAAAGGAAAACAAAACACAATAATGGATAACCAAAGCCCAAAAACATAAAAATGAGATCTACTTTGTTTGAAAGAATCCCACAACACAAGGTCCAAGTAAAGAACATAAAAATATTGAATTATTTAAGTCAAGAATAATAACTATAATAATACTAATAGAGGACATTTAATTATAGTGCCTTCAGTAAGTTGTAAACTGTCTGCAAAGGTACGTTTTGGGGCCCTCTTCTTTGCTGAATCTACTGTCCTTGAGCTCCTAATATACAGCTGCACAAAATTACTTTGTTCAAACTGTTTGATGGCAGCTTCCAGGGCTGTGAAACTTTCAAATTCCGTCCCAACACGTATCGACCTAGCCTCTGCCATTTTGGAACTCAAGTGAACTGAGGTCGGTTGAAAAACATGTTCTACGTCATCAGTTTGTGACCTCCGTAAAAATAAATAGCCACAGTGAGAAAAAAATTACCCAAGAAAAAACTTCACCTTTTCACTTTCAGATTACGCTGATTCTTCCAGAAGATACTTCAGCACCTCAATCCGTGACAGATTGTTTTGCAGATCAGTTGTCTTACAAATTGACCCAGCTCCCGGTCTACCGGCTGCTGGAAGCACCATTTGTGAATGGCTTTGTCAAAAAAGGTAAGGGAAAATGTAACAATTAGAACAATTGTTAAGTTATGATTTTGGAATGAATTGTTAAGTTTGTATTTGGTTGAATGAGGTTTTCAGTTTGCTAGAATTATTGCTTTGATGAGAAGCCTGTCAGGTTTAGTTGTGAGAGAAAGAGAGAGGGCTACTGATCTGATTATTTTTTACTGTTGCCGGTCAACAATCTTCATGGAAAATGTCAAATATTATGAAGTAATTACTGACCACTGGCAGTGTCTGTTTATAAACTTGAAATCCAACAAATTACTGGTTTGATACTTATTTATGTCTTTTGTTATGTTTTAAACTGTTTTTCATCCTTTTTACCTAGGTGCTGTTCATTTGATATCTTGTGATACAAAACTTGATGTGCATGACTGTGCAGCAGTTACTCCTGCTGGTAAGTTTCTTTATTTAGAAGAGGTAAAAACAGTTTCTTTATTCGTGCTCTTGTGTTTTCTTCTTCTTTTGAACTTCTGAGGTTGGGAAGAAATAAAGCATCTTTTTGGGTAGCTTAGTTTTTAACATTTTTTTATATTTTGACCCTAAAAATTGGTTTACCCTAGATTTTCTTTTGGAGGTAAATCCAAATACACTTGTCTCTTCCTAAAATCCCACCTTTTAAATCCCGGTTCACTTAAGATCCTGCCGTTTGAAGAAAACAAAATTTTTATTACATGGACAAGAGTTACCCCTAAGAACTAAGATTCCGTTAACATCCTGCCTTTGTGGTCATAATTTCCAAAACAAAAACAATGGCTGAGCAGCAGATCAATCAAGCAGTAAACATTTGCAACCACTGCACTGTCCATTACGCCATAGAGCATCCATTCTCTTGAAAGTGATCATAGTTACATCGTAAATCTCGATAAAATGGTACAATGTTTGTTTGCTCCAGATGGGATCACACGGAGGTGTGAACTCATCAACGCTTTTGTTTCCTCCAAACATTGCACTCGTACCTTAGTTCTCCACCTGAACTTATATCACAAGTTTGGTTGATAGGGCTTTCAAGTCCGCGTTAGATGGGATCGCATCGAACTGTGAACTTGTAGGTACTTTTGATTCCCTGACCACTGCAGCAGTAGTAGAGTAGTTGTCTTTGCACCCCAATTTGCTAGACAGACTGAATTCTGATTGGTGCGGTCACAACACATTGGTGCATCATCATTATGACAGAGGCGGGGTAACTTGGTCAGATCTGGAAAGCTATATACAGTCGAACCTGTGTAAGACGGCCACCCATTGTCTAGGAGAAAAGTGGCCGTATAAGACAGGTGGCTGTCTTGGGCAGGACTGATCAAGATGAAGAAAACAAACCATTCCTTTCTGAGGTCCCAACCGAAAATAGCCACATTGTTGTTATTGTTGTAGTTGTTTTTTTTTCACTGTTTTTTTTTTTCTTCTTTTTTTTTTTTCCCCTTTTGTTGCTGCTTTTGTGCAAAGGTGACAATAAAACGAAATGTATGTGTCAGACAAGGAGGACCGAGTGCTACGGTAAAACAAGCACATGGGTGGCCACCACTCGGAAAACGAGCGACGCTTCTGTCACAAGTTCATATTGATGTCCATTGTTACTTTGTTACAGACTGGGTAAACAGTAACCACTCATCTCACTTACAATTTGTGTATGAGTTCTTGGCGGGGCTTATGGCTATGGGTTATGAGGGATCACACATTTACCTCACCAGCAGCTGAAAATTTGTTACCTACCGTATTGGTCAACAATGGGAGGGGCCTACGCAACATGGTCGGTTGGAGGGACTACCTAACAACAACGACAGGTGATTAGATTATGACGGCTCACCCACAATGCCAGGGGCCAAAGCTTGATTTATTACAAAATGTAATAGAGTCACTAAGGTGACCGACCGCCTAAGACAGGTGTTTTTGTTTTGGTGTGAAAGGGGTTGTGTGTTCAAATATGGTGGCCGCGTTGGACAGGTGCCCGTTTTACACAGTTAAATTATATAGAAAAAACGCCTCTCGGGCAATGGAAAATGGCTGTCTTATAGAGGTGGCCGCCAGGGCAGGTTCGACTCTATAAATTTTGTACAAGTAAAAGGGAAGAGAGGGAGCAATAGGATCAGAGTAGATCTTGAGACTCACGGTTGAACGAGTGAAAATTGCTTGCCTCATGCCTTTGCGATTGGTAATCAAGGTTGACCACTCTTTGCTCGCCAAGTCGTTCCAGAGTAAAGGGAGACCAATTTACCGATTGTAGGCCTCACGAGAAGTCACCGTGGATTATCCCATCGGCTAAGATCCCCTTTGTTTTGCCTAAGATCCTGCATTTTCCTTGCCCCCCCCCGAGTATCGGGATCTTAGGAAGAGACTACAGTAATGTACAAGGGACATGGCAGTAAAGGCAGGGGAAGCAACTCAGTAAGTTCTTGATAAGATGTACCCTTGATGGTCTTATCTCTCTTCCTTTGGTGATGTGAAAAGTACTGGGAAGGCGCCATTTCTGTTTGCTGTGTTGGGTAGGCAGTTCAGTGTTTTCATGAATAAATCCTACCTGTAGGCAGTTGCTGTTGTCTGTGCTAATTTCTTGACATGTTTTAAATACATACTGTTATTGTATGCTATGATCAGGGCAGTTTGCTGGTTTTGGTTGGTTGTTTTGGCATAGGAAAGGAATTCAGTGATGCTGGTGGCAGTGGAAGGCAGTTCAGGGAAAATTTCACAAAGGTTGCATACATTTAATATTAGTGAAAGTAGGCACGGCAGAAGGAGCTTGCTGTCCTGTTCACAAAACTTTTCAAATTTTCTAGATATCTGTATTCAAAAAGATTATGAGTTTATTTAGATCAATTTATCCACCGTCACCCTCCCCCCACCCTATTTACTCCGACCTCCCTGCTTTTAACTTGGTGAAAGTTGCAAGAAATGCATATAAATTGGATGATCTACCCAAATCAAGCATCACATTGTTTATATCAATATACTCTATACATTCAAATACTGATTTGAAAATATTTATCCTTTGAAAAGATGGGATTTTGGTGTGTGCTTTTCATGAGTCTTGGGGTTGAGGGGCCGTTTAATGGAATTTATGTTCATTAACTTCATTGATAATTTTTCTTTCAACCCCTGACATTATATTTCAGGATGTCTTGTACTGCATCTGACAAAGGACACTTACCAGGAGCTAGGTCTCGAGGCTGTTCCACAGACTTTGGCTCAGAAGCAAGCAGATATTTATCGTAAGTCATTTTCTTTTGCTTAGAAGTTAGTAGCTTGGCTGTGATTTAGAATAGTAACCGCTATAATCCATAGCTGATTGTTGCTTCTTTTCCATGCATGCATTGACATTATGTATGTGATGGTCTCCACCAGAAAAAACTTTGTGATATTATGTGGATGTTGCTATACGTACAGGGTGATGAAAAAAAACAACTGCACAACTTTTTCGCATTTCAAATTTGTACACAGCATTTGGACAAGACGTCAAAAGGAATTTGTCTGATATTCATTCTAGATAAATCCACTGCAAAGTTTTGCTCTACATAATGCGTAAAAACAACAACCCATTTTCAGCTATGTCCCCATTTTTGTAGCATGACGCACTAATTCGCATTAGGCCTACCACTAAAAATCCCAACTTTTGCGCCATATTGCAAACTACAGTAGTCTAATAGGCCAACAGAGGTTTGCAAATAGTTTTTCTCAAGTTTCCTTTGCCTGCTGAGATCATGATTTAATTAAGATTAGTAAAGAGCAGAGAGCTTTTTGTATTGAACATTTCCTCACCACCAACTCATTTCGTAATTTTTGCACAAGGTAGAGAAATAATATTAAAGTGCCCTTAAGTCCTTCTTTGATGTCAAGGATGGAAATGGTCCTTCAGTTAGGAGCTGTAGAGAATCAGACCTAAAAATTCCCAGGCAAAACGACCACTTCAGGTCAAACGCCCACCGTTTGCACCCCTATAAATGTCACCAGGGTGCAGCATTCAGTAGATGAGCCCCATGACACGTCTGTCCGTAGACTGTCTGCAGCAATGACTTTTCTACATCTCAACGGTCCGCATTCTGAAGGCAGATCTTCATCTATGAAAGTACCATTTTCCTGTTCGCAAAGCTATCAGGCGATACCAGTGTGTTCATGATTCCTCGATCGTCTTGAAAAGCGTGAACATTTCCTCTATGACTTGTTGTTCCTTAGCAAAGCCCATATTCACCTTTCAGGTTATATGAACTCCACAAATACTGTCTATTTGGGCAACCGTGCACGCCCCCCCCTCCCCCTCCCCCTCAATGTCTCTAGAAACAGCTCCATACTGTATGGTGTACAATTTGTGTGGCTTTGGGTACTTATTGCAAAGTGGATCCTTGTATTTGAGTATCACTGAACATTATGAACGACTTGTTAAAATTTGTCGAGTCCATAGGAGGACATATACACCATTGGTTTTCGGAATTCCAGAATTTAAAAAAATATTTTTTTTACCTCTGTAGAAGAAAAGAAATATTGTTTGAAGGTTACAGGGATGGAAAGATTATATTTTTTAAATAAAAGGAAAGGAAAAAACAAACCAATCATTTCGAGACTTTCTTAACAAAATCTTTTAAATTGGTGTATTTTGTATTTTTGTAGGTGGTTTTTATAAAAACCATTTCCGTTTTTAAAAATAAGTTTCTTCTTTGTGAATGATATGTCAAATTCCTTTTGAATGAATTATGTCTATTCCAAATTACAATATTCTAGTACAAATTTTGAGCGAGATATTTAGAAAAAAAAGTTGTACAGTTTTTTTGTTTTTTTCTCACCCTGTATTTATACATTCCCCATGTCAGGCCTTTCTGTTTCTGAATGATACTGCTGCATGAGTGCTCTTATATGTGGATTTCTAAAATTTAAAATTAAATTAAAACATTTTTTAGGTTTCTCTTCCTAAAGGTTGTCCTATCCCTTTTGGTACGTTTATAGAAGGAGGTAAATGTGTCAGATTTTTCTCTTATTTCAGAATTAATGCCCTTCTTATTGTGTACAAATTTATTTTTTTTTAATGTGTAAATGCGTATTGTTTTAAGCATTTCTGAATGTAATGTTTTATTTGTCTGTCTCTTTTTTTTTTTGTCAAGGCAAGTGATTATTGCAGAATCTTAACCCATAATATGTGTGTGCTCCTAGAGAAAGGTACCAAAAGTTGCCCCAGACTGTTTCGAACTACAGGCTGATTATTACAAAATCACTTTTTTAACCAAATTGTGTTTCCATTTTAAAAAATTGTAGATCCACCATTTTTTTTACAATGTGCTCAAAAGGTTTTTATTGATTTGACTTCTAAATATTTCATTTCAAATTATTTTGAGGGTAGGGTATAACAAAACCTAATAATGAAAACTGCTTTTAAAAGATGTTAAAATCTTTTCTTGAAACATGTTTTCTCTTCCCTGCTATGTTTTACCTTTGAATTCCATTCATAATATTGATGTCAACTGAATGCCAAATTGGAAATTAATTTTCCATGAATAAATACTTTAGAAAAATCTGTTTTTTTTTTTTAAAGTTTGTATTGTTCTCACGTTTGTTAAACTAAAAACCTCATTTCTCAAAATTATATTTTTATACAAAAACTACTTGAGATATCTAAGAAGTTCAAAGACCCCTGTGTTTAGCCTTGAATTTCCTATAGTATAAGATACAGCCGTTAACTCAAAATGGTCAAAATCCAACTTTTGGTACCTTTCTTTAAGCGCACACACTTATTGTTTTTAAGAAGTTGGGAGCATGCCTTCACCCATTTCCTCTTTTACCTGTGTTGGTGGCAGTTTTTAGATTTTGTTCGAGTGCTCATTTACATTTCTGCATTTAGTTGTGTAGCCATAATTGTCAGTCTTGACTTTTCCCAGCTTTATGTGATGTAATGGAGATGGGAGGTCCTGGCATGACAATGAACTTCAAATTTATTTCTTGTTAAAATCAAAAATAATAAATGAATAAATTACATTTTATTGATACCCATGGGGAAATTTAGGTTACAGTGCTGACAAACGTACACAAATACAGAACTATTTCACAAACATGCCATTGCTGGTCACCACTGTGCAACGCCCTGGTTTTTGGGTGGGTTTTTTTGTTGCTAGGGTTATCGTGTGTTGCTCAAGGGCACACATTCCAGTTACCACCCATGTAAACCCAGTGCCAGGGGACACTGCTTGCCATTAATTTTGAGTCTGAACTCACTACTCACTTAGCCACTAGACCCCCCCCCCCCCCCCCCAATAAAATGTTGTTTGGAAAGTAACAATAGTTGTGAACCTGCTTTTAGCTGTATCATCATGGTTTCTGCAGGTAGGCCTCAATTTGAACTGGACTTTTGTTCTCTTTGATTTTATCTTTACTTTCCAGTCATTCATAATGTTATGGTGCTATAGTGTTTTACTCTTGTTTTATTTCAGAGGTGAACATTGATTTGAAAGCTGATCATTTTCATCCCGGAAAAAGAGGATATGATAAAGCAATGAGATGTTTGAAGGACAGGCTTGGCTTGAAGTTTGATTTTCTCATTTCATGGGTGCCACATGGTAGGTTTTCGGAAGAGCTGCATTTTTTTTTTGACAGTGGATAGTTTTTAAGAAGCCCTGGTTTTTCTCATTTGTTTTGTATAAAGATAGATTATATAGTTTTATTGTCCAGATGTTGCAGATGCATTGTGCTTTACTGACAAATTAACTTGCATTTTGCATCTCAAAGTTATACTTTTTAGAAATGTTTCCTTTCACTGTTACTGAAAATATTCTGGAGGTTGTAAAAAATTAGTGTTCGTTCTGAAAATTATTGTGTTATTCCTCTTCCATGGAAATTTTTGTGCAGTTTTCATGGAATCTTCATAGAACTCTTTGTAATCTTAGTCTTTGTTAAATAAAGAGAAAATCTGCTGGCCACTAATTGTATAGGCCAACTTTAAACTATGAGTTACCCTCACAGTGCGTACATGCTTTCATATTCTGTAGTTTTTCATGAAATTGAATTCTTTCCCAAAAATTTTGAATTTATGGGTCTCTGGTATGTATTGGTAGATGACTCTCTTTTTCAAGGGTTGGCTGGCCGAGTTCAAGGATTCGATTTCTTTGGGGTTTTTTATGAGATGAAGTTCTCAAGATTTTTAATGTTGATATCTTTTTTTTGTTCACCTGGGTTTTGGATCATATAGCCATTAATTTTAGGTTTTTCTTAGGGTGTTGTGTCTCAGGGATTCTTTTATGGTACTTACTTCATCAGTTTTCAAATTGTTGATATCCCTTTTCCTGTATTCTTCCAGATTCTGAGGTTTGCTCGAGTTCGGTCGGTGTCTACTTCACTGATCTCTGTGACAAGGTGGAGAGCTATGAGCTAACAAAGAAATCTCGTGTTCTAACAAGTGTGGCGTGTCCCCGCATTGTAGCTGAGGAACCAGAGGGAATCGAGGAGGGCTGCCACTTTCAGAAAGTTTTTGAGTGGATGGGAGCCGTGGCCTGTGATATCAGTTTGTAAGCTGCAAGTTTATTCAAAGAAGGAAAAGAAATGTCAAAAAATATTTTGAAAACAACCATAGCGGTTTTTCTAATTGTGTTGTATTATTTTGCACCACACTGAGATATTTTCTTTTTCTTCTTCTTTGTGTTCCCCTGTTGGATCTCAGGGGTAGTTGGCTGGTGGTTCTTCAACATGCAGTGTAACTCATTTTTACATATGTGAATGTTTTTCCTACTTAGCAGGGCCCTTTGCCTTCAGGCAGCCACATTCCGATTCGAAGTTACTCTACATATGTTTTTAAATTGACTAGAGTACTTTCAGTTTTGATGGGAATTTTGAATTTTGCACTCGTAGTGGCCAAAGCCTACTCATATCGTTTTTAGGACAGCTAAGGGATCTTGTATACATGACCTCCGAAATTTTTTGCCCTTTAGCCAGAAGGCTAGGTGTTAGATCTTGCCTACCCTTGGATCATGGTTGTGGCTGAATTTTCAGTTCATGCAATTGTATTTTTCAAGAAAGTAGGCCTATCTCTTCTATTGACTTATTCTTCTATTTCGTGGGATTTATGTTCTCCTCTGTGGATTCGTTGGTCATAGTCAGACATTGAAGGACAAACTATTTTTTTTCACTCTTATTATTATTAGTATTATAATAAAATGTTCAAGAATAAAGTGCACCTGTCCAACACTGTTAAAGTTGTTTGACCTTTTAGTAACTATAAATAACAGTTGTTGTCATTTTGTAGTAAGAATACTCGTAGCTTTAAATCTCCGTTATAATGTGTAACACTAATGTGTTTTAAAATGGACACAAAAGGTATTGAGGCTAAAGAAAAAAAGAAATTTTTAAAAATTGTCCAGTTTTATTTTTTTATTTATTTCATTATTTTGACAAGTGTCTGATTTCACCAAGATGCCTATTTTTATATGTGATAGTTTATTGTTGTTTCTTTCTTGGGGGGGGGGGGGGGGGGGGTGTCGGCATACAAACATGTCAGTACATTTACCGATTTGTCGCTTTTCAGTAATAGTGGATAATACTTTTTCCATAACAGGGTGTCGGAGGAGACAGATGATGACAATTATGTGTCCAGTTTTTCGTGCCCAGTACCCAGGGTGAACTGCCCGAGGTGCTGTGTGTACCAAGTGAAAGGTTTCATTCCTCCAGATGTCATCCTCAAAGTCTTAAAGGCCCTCAGGTAAGTTAAAAGCAAAAGAATGTTTCTTGGGACAAAGCTGTAGTTATCTATCTTCCTTCCCATCAAGGTTCTGTCGACTGAATACTTCACAATCCTGATGCCCGTGGATCTCAATATCTGAGTAGGCCTAAGTGATACCCAGTTGATTTGCTGTTTTCAAAAGACAATACAGTGGAACTCTGATTCAACGAGGTCGTCGGGCCTAACTTAAAATCTAGTTGAATCCGAGTGTTCGTTATAGCAAATTCAAGGTTTTGTGTAGATAATTACAGGCACTGAGCAAGTAATGTGTAAAGAGAAGTAACAAGTAGTGCCTGAAATGCCTGCATGTTATGAGCTGTGTAAAAAAAACGTTTCTTTCGTTCAAATGCACATGCCTGTGTCATCTCGATTGTTCACCAAAAAGTTGTGTTGCTGTGTAGAGCCTAGCTTACGGCAACTTTTGATTCCATAGAGACCGGCGCACAATTCATTACGTAGATCTACATCAAGACTAGACTAGCTTATCATTGTAATAATGACCAGTTGCTGAGGGGAAAAAAGACTGTGACGGGTTTGTATCTTTGACATTCAACACCAGGACCGCTAGAGCCCCCCCTCCCCTCCCTGACACGCACACACAGTCACACGTGTGCAGGCCGCCCTTCCGACCCCGATACACGCCAGAGTAGACACATGCATGTGCAAACAATGCAGGCATTGGAATGAAAAAAGGCCACTGATTGGTCGCATGCAATCGGCTAAGTGAATAATGGTTCACGATGCAGAGATGCAATGGGTGGTTTCCGGGAATAGATAAAGTTCGTTTTTTGAGAAAGAAAAATGAGCGAAGCCACGTCTGCAAGGGCTGTTCACCCTGGGAGCGACCTCGTTGAATCCGAGCGCGCTAATTTTAAGTGCTCGTTGAATCCGGATTATTTTTTAAATTGATTTTAAAAAAGAAAAAAAGCGGGGATTCTATCTCATCTCGTTGAATCCGAGTTCCTCTGTATGTTCTTTTTGGTCGGCTGTTCAGAAGCCTTAATTTTTCAAAAATTTTCGGGGAGGGGGCATGCCTATGGACCCCCCTAGTTAGGCTTCGCGCCCGCGCCACTGGCACGGTGGCCACATCCCTTCAGATTTTCAGGCAATTTTTGGGGGGGCAACTTTCACGTCTACTACATCTTATACGCGTATGTGTGTGTCACATTGTTGCAGAATCAGACACTCGTCAACTTTTGGGATTGTGGGGTTATTGGTATCCTCTTAAATCTTATTCGTTAGTCTTGCTTTCGATAAAAATAATACCCTTTTCGTCTTCAATACAAGTCGAGATATTTGTAATTGAAGGAGGTGGGGGTTGCCTGGTTTCAAAGGTAAAGTGAGCAAGAAAATGGCTGCCGAATTTTAGTTACATCCACAGCTAGTGAGTCCGTAGAAACTGAAACGTTTTTCTGTAAAATCCACACAGAAATGTGTTCTTAGATGGACATGAAATGTTTTGAGCAAAAAAACAAAAAATTAGATTTTAAAAACTGTCAAAACCGGTAGAAAAATACCTGTTTCTTCAATTTCATCATTTGGACAAGCGCTTGATTTCACCAATCTACATCACATATGTGAATAATGGAGGTATGCCCTCAATAGGCAGCAAGTTTGTATGTCCACGAGGGGTTGGACCCAATGAATTGAAAGAACAGGAAAGTTATTGTGAGGTCATGTGAACCTTTAAAGGGACACTGGACTATATGTAAGAACTTTAACATTTAAAGACTATAATAAATTTTTTAATATTTTGTAAGCTATGAAAAGTTTAGCAAAGTGGTTGGTGTACTTGAAATCATTTGGTGAGTCTGGTTGAAAAAAGATTGTCTACATTCTAAGTATTTCTGTACATATGGGGGTTGTTGACTTTTCAGAGGTGACGTAAAGTGAGAGCAAAAGTGGAAGTTGACAGAAAAGAACTTTCCCTTAGCTTTCTGAAACAGCTGGCCAGATGTTCATGGCTTTTGTATAATAAATAGAAGTTAAAAAAAAAAATGATCTGCAAATGCGGTTTCGATGATTTCATTCAAGATGTCAAGATTCCCATGTCAACCGAAAGGCTGACCGAGGTGAAGTCTGAGTCATGTTTCCTTGTCATGCTCAGTATCCATACATAGCAATGAAGAGATGAATATAGAAGAGAATTACGTTTTGCTTCCTGATTTAGAGACAAACAATAATGCAGAGGTCCTTTCTTTTATATGAGTTTCTGTGGTGTAGACATTTATTTGATTGACTGCTGGAGTAAATAATCTTTTAATTCTTCTTTTTCACTTTTTCAAGGGCCCACAAGTCTGCACATCCTTCTTCGGTTCCGGCCAGTTTGACCGTTGTCGGTTTCTCTGATGCTCCAGTTGTACAGAAAAACATCCCTCATGACTTTTACCTCTCTGGTACCAATGTCTACAGCTTTGTCTTGTATCCAGACGAGAGGTACTGGCTGTATACAGCATCTGTAGCTTAAGTCCAGTGGAATGTTTTGTCCATCATCAGTATTTATTCTCTGTACATTTCAACCTTTTCATTCATTATTTTGTTCATTTTCAAAGTTCATTGTTTCTCCATTTGAATATTTCCGTTCATAAATTTATTGTCTTTTGGCATCAGCATTCATCTATTCATGATTTATGCCTAGTGTGGTACTGATGTCTTTCCCAGTATTCCTTTCTGTTTATTCACCATTAGTACTCTTTTGCTCTTTATTTGATTTTTTTCTGGGGTTTACGAATGCTGTGTTTTCTCTTTTTTGCCAGTAAAGAAGTAATGGAGTTTGCTAGATGCATTCCTCTATCCCCTTTTTTAGTTGATGTCCAGTTTTGTTTTTTCATTCGGTGACCTTGTGTGTTCACCAACTTCTTTTTTTAAATCAATCCATGTCAACTTCTCTTTTTGAAATAATTCATTTGGTATTTGTGTATAATTCAGCTTTTTGGCTTGGTTTCTCTGGGCAATTTTGTTTCATTCATTTCCATTTGTATTCGATATTAGCTTCGTTTTACTTTTATGCTGTGACTATTTTTTCATATGAACACTGCCTCTCTATTGTGAATGTTTCCTTTCTTAAGTGAATTGCTATTGTATTATATTCCATCCCTGAGCGCTACAGAAGAATACACTTTTCTGTGTATTACAGTCGAACCTTTGTGAAACGGAATTTCCAGGGAGCCAGAAAGGAATTCCGTCTTAGACATTTTCTGTCTTATTTAGGGGAAGATGGAGATGTGTCTCAGCGGCTCAGTCTGTGGGCTCAAGAGTCGCTTGTCCGATTGGCAAGCAGGGGTCAGAACCTCACTCCTCTCAAGTACTGTCTAAGCCACTCTATGGCAAGTGCCTGGTCTCACTTGTCCCTTGCCACAAGTGCTTGCATTTCATATGACCGCTGTTTGACTTATTGAAAATAGAAACTATTGAACTCTCCTTTGCTGCCACCCTTAGCCACATCCATTGGTGTAATAAAAAACAGTCAACCAATGCTATCACTTCCCTGCATTTAACAATGATTCGAGGATATTTTTTTTTCGGGTGGCAGAACAATCAGGGTGGGAGGCAATGACAAACAACAAACTAATTTCACACCCACACCGTTGGCCTCTGGCTACTCATGAAAGTTCCCTTGCTCCCTTGCTTGAGTAACACTCAAGCACTTTCACGGGCACTGGTGAGATTTCATACCCAATACCCATACCACCCTGACCACCTGCACAACTAAGGGTTCTTATGGATGGGGTAACATCTACCCCCAAATTGCACCCCCAGCATGGCGTAAAGGTCGGAGTTGATGTAAGCAAACTTAATAATTTTGTTTCAAATCAGTGCTGAGTGGGCAAAGCGTTTTCCGCCTTAGACAGGTAAAACCCTCCGAAGGAATGGAATTTTTCTTTCTGTTGTCGCGTTAGGCAGGTTTCCATTTTATTGGGAAATTTTTCAAGGGGGGAGCGAGGAGATTCCGTTATGACAGGTTTCCATTAAGGCAGGTTCAACTACTTTTGGTGTGCGCCTTAACGTTTAGATGTTTGGTAACGGTCTTCTTCAACCTTTGCTTCGAAACTTACTTGACCCACCAACCATGCACATCTGTGGTCTCCACTCATTGAAGGGCCAACATGGATGTAGATGTGACGTCATGCATGAAACATGATTTTAACTTATTTTTGAGAATGGTGTACCGAACATTTTGTCATTATAGTGTGTGACATTCTGTGCTTCATGTATGAGCAAATGGTTTTTGTGATGAGGAGCTTTCTTTTTTTTTTTCGTTGCCTATCCAGTTTTGATACCGAATATTGATAAGTTATGAGTAAATGTGTAAAAGTGGTCGGTACTGTTAAAGAAATTGTTCAGAACAATGAAAAGAAATACTTTTAGAAAAGAAAGGAATGATTTAAAAAAACCCAACTACTTTTGATAATTTACTCTAATTATCAATATGATGATGAGTAAATGTTAAGCATTACAATGTATATATATGTATCTCGATGTTAGTTTAATTCTTCATTTGGTGCTACTCTCGATCCTCTCTGGCTGTCCTGAGGGGCAGGACTCAATCCTACATTCCGTCGCATAGAGTGACAAAAATTTGGAGATAAGTTGTCACCAGCACGCCAACATAAAGGTATGCTGAAAAATCGCCTGGGAGCCACTTCTAAATAATGACTTTGTCATATGTTTTCCTTATCATGCTCTACTGTCAGACTTTCGAAACAAATTAAAAGATGTGGCTAATTTAGTCATTATCTATGTATTACTATTGGTGGTAAATAGAACCACTGTGCACCTTGGTAATACATAGGCAATTCTCTACAAGTAGATGTATTTACAAGTTATTGCTATCTGCAGTCTGTCATGGATCCTGAGGCACTTCTGTGGTGGATGGAGCATGTAAAAAGCACAATAAACTATGCTGTCGCCCATAGACTTACAAAGATGCCTCTTCTTATAACACCAGTCGCTAAATCTTCACTTGTTCTAAAAAATACAAACAATATATGCTCGATGTATAGTAGAAGAGGACCATAAACGGAATTGCTTCTAACAATGACTCACATCATAGGGGAAAAAATCGTTGCATTGCCACTATTGGAGAGAGGTGTTAAATTATTGGAATAAGCATCATCTCCCACATTCTCCATGTAAGTCTCAAGCGAAATCTTTTTAAATGCAACAGTGATCATTTGGAGAAAAAAAATCAAAACCACAATGCATGTACAAAGTCTTTGTCTATGATCGTTAAAAAAGCTTGGTATGTTTTGTAGAGACATTATATTTTTGCTGACTTTTCATGAGGTATTCCTTCATCTGTGGTGCTATTATTATTATGAAGCTCTTTGCTTGTGCAAGCGGAAGATGTGAGTTTGATTTCTGAGTGTAAAAGTTATATGATCACATATCCTATGTATGTCTGCTGGGGTTCTGTTGTATCTCTTTAAGCTCTCCTTCTGAATCGGTAGGGGCATAAAGCATTTGAAAAGTAAATGAAATGAAGTGAAAAAAAAAGCTTGGAATAAAGTGAGGTGAAGGAACTTCTGTCCTGTTTAATGCTGTACAGTAGTTTTAATGTAATTTGTGAATGTGTCCAGAGGCGATATCTGTCTGAAAATGAGGGTACAGTATATATATTGAGTGATCTGAATTATCAAAATGAGTGACGCCAATGACTGTATTGGTGATCAACCTCTGCTGGTGTTACACGTGTGATCAACCTCTGCTGGTGTTACACGTGTGATCAACCTCTGCTGGTGTTACACGTGTGATCAACCTCTGCTGGTGTTACACGTGTGGACAATGTGAATGAAATAAAAGTCGAAACTTTTTATGCTGAAAGTGTTTTGTTTTGTTCTACAACTTGTAATTAGAAAAAATGTAGATTTCCATTAATTAGAAAAAATGTAGATTTCCATTAATTAGAAAAAATGTAGATTTCCATTAAGTATCAGTATCAGAGGTCATGATTGTTTTGAAATGTCCTGGAAAGTTAAAAAAAAATAACTGACCACAGATCTTTTTCCGTCATATCTTTTCGATGTAAGGATCAGACTGTGAACAAGTTATTTACAATACACAGTCTGATCGGGGGCTCTCGTGACCTAGAGGTTAAGGTGTTGGCCTCTCACTCTCATTCAAAGGTTCCGGGGTCGAATCCGGGTAGCGACCGAAAAATTTTCTTCTCTAAATTTGTCTCCTTTCACCTCATTTCCTGCTCTCCAGCAATGTTCTGTCGTCTGCTTTCGTCTCCTCTTTCTGCCCCCACCCCCTCACCTCCTTTGCCCCTTCCTCTGGGCTCCTGATTCTTTCTACTGCTACTCCTTTGCTTCTTCTTACTGCTGTCTTTCAGCCACACCCCTGATCTTCTGGTAGGAAAGATCTACACCTAGCCTTCTGGGACAAGGGCGAAAAATCTCGGAGGGCCCGCGTGCAAGTTGCGCACGTTAAAGATCCCTTGGTGGTCTAAAATCGATCAGAGCAGGCTTCGGCTGCCACCCGGGCAAAATTCAAAATTTCCTACCAACTGAAAATATAAGGTGTGTCCCGTGCGCTCATATGACCTTATGCAGTTGCGAGCACCGTAAAACACTTTACAAAAACAAAACAAACAGTCTGATCCTCACATGGAAAAGACATGTGACGTAGAATTATCTGTGGCCAAGGACAAGCAAAAAAAGTCAGTTCTAGAGAAATTTGGCATATAGGTTTCAAGAGCTGAACCGTTGATCTATGTACTCTTTTCCCATGACACGGGGTTAAGGGCCTGTCATAAGGGTTGAACATCCAGTCACGTGTCAATAAATTGAATGAACCCTCAAAGGTTAAAGTCAACATGAGGCCACCCTGCCCCCAATAAGTCAAAAGTATCTTATGAGTATGGCAAGGCAGAGAGCCTCAGACTCGCATTGACAACCCACTTGGGCCACTTCTGTAATTAACTCATCAAGGAAGATGTCCACAGGTGACAGTCCTTGCAATTAGCCTTGTTGTAGTTCATTGAACTTGAGAAGCTTAGAGTACAGAGAAGTACATTATTGGCCCAGTATTGGTCATTTAGTGCTCAGAAAAAGAAAGCGTCAGAAACTAATGTGGTATTGAAAAGAAAATCCTGCCAGTACCGCCCTCCAACAACATACTACTTAAAAGCAACTTACTCTCAGTTCAAATATTTGTGAAATAAAAGAGCTTATTCTAAGATTAGGATGAAATGAAATGGTTTATTTTAAAAATTTGTTGCGAAGATCATTGAAGGTGTATCACTTTCTGTGCTGGTACTGTTTCCAAGGCTGCCAATATCTGCTCTGCTGAGTTACTGTAATCTTGCTTTCTTTGCTGCTAACTCACGTTCCTGTAATAGAATAAACGTAACAATATTATATATCTCTATTAAATATTAGGCTCGTTCAAGCACAGTAGAATTGTAAATGGGCAGATTCATCATGTCACGCTCATAACTGTGCCTGATCTGCAACAGGGAACTGCTGCTTTTTTTCCCTAATCCTTACTATTGTCATTTCCCTCTACTTCTTTTTGTATGTTTGTCACTCTCTTGTGACCCGCTATTTCCGGGGTGCCTTGATAGTCGAGGCAGACCTTGTGCTGTTGAAGCTAGAGAGGTGAGCAGAGTAAGTCTGATTCCCTGTAAGGACTTCTCTGTTGACACCCACCCCTTGACGCTCATATGAGTTTATGCAGTTGCGAGCGCCGTAAAACTTCTACTTTAAAAAAAACACCTATGTAGCATGCAGTCGTTGAATGTGAGATCTCTGTTAACACAAACACATTCCAAATCTGAGTGGATTCCCGGACAGTACAGCTACAGAATGCCTACAACAAACGTTATTCTGTCCCGGTGGTTTTATGCACCCAGCATAATATAGAAAAATTTGATCATATTTTGGATGATTTCTGATTATTTTCCTTTATCATTCTTTGTTGGGCTCAGTTTGCATTTTTTCAGAATTTTTCTTGCATAAAACGACGGGGACAGGTTATTATTAGGGTGACCTTATTTAGGCCACATATGGCCTAAATAAGCTAAACCCCCCTCCTTTACTTTATTTGGGCCACAGGTGGCCTAAAT